ACAAGAAAAAGCCTGTTCTTGTTACTTCTCAGAGAAGTACAAATAGGAATATCAATGGCTATGAGAATGTCAAAGGTGACAAAATAACGAAAAGACAGAATGCCATATTAGAATCGCTGAAGTGATATACAGCATATTCTCGTTTATATTGTAATCTAGGATCACGTGATCAGTGTATACTCCGACAATCAATATCACGTGTGCACAGATACAACAATAATCATGACTTAGAGTACCAGACCTCCATTGGCAAGCCCGAATCGTTGTGGTCAAACAAAAACGGACACAAGTCATATTATGCTACAGAAAGGGGGAGACGTTCATTGAAAAGACATTTCATTAGTGGTGCAGTAGAAACGCTAATGAAATCTCTAGCCTGCTAGCCATATGTATGTCCGCCTCGCCAACTATATGTAATGGTACAATGTACATCCAACGTTCCGCGCGCCACCAAACATCGAATGATTTTCAGTGATTTGTCTTGTATATCAGATGTAGGGTTGGTGAGAAGGTTTTTGCTATTCTGTAGATGATGGTCACATTTCGTACTTATTCAGTTCCTCCCGACAAAAACAACCCACATGTGAACATATTCTGAATCCAAACACAAATTGGATGAAACTATGGCAAAATAAGAACAAAAGAAATATTTACATGATACGACAGGACAAAGTGTTAGAAGAGTAAGACCATGAGTTGCGGATGACTAAATGTCTTATGCTAAATTGCCTTCACCTGTCATGCAACTTTTGGTAAATCCAAGTAAGTTGTATCAGGTTCCCAAATGAGAACAAGGTAAACACCAACGAAATCCCTTGGCTATCTAATACGTCCAGCATAGTATCGTGCATAGAAATTAAATATTTCATGATAAGATCATTATGACTACCTTGAAACTTTCTCAATCAACATACATCTCTCGAAATCTCGTGTTGTGAGTGTGTCAGTTCCCGACATTTCGAAAATCGTGATACTGGGGACAAAACCCTGGAATATCGAATACACAGTAACATGTAAACACTACAGATTGGTTATGCAGAGATGTCACAATGCAAACACGACAAATTCGTAATAGTGAATTGATGTCATCATGTGTACGATACAGCTTGTTGGAAACCTGTCTTTGTAAGTTTCGCGGTGGGAAAAGAGGCTGATGTAGAAGAGTCTGTCGTTTCCTTTCAAGTTCTGATAATGATAAAAAATCAACTTTTTTAAATAAATGTCTTCTTTCATGTATTTATATAGTATCATCAATATATATGAAAGTGAACTTAAATGAAGTTAATAGACTTCTGAGGGTCTTTGTGATCTGTTTTGATTAGTTCTTCGATAAATTCAATTCAGCCGCGTATGAACATAAAAAAGTCGGCCAAGAAAAGAACAGTTTGGTGTAGCTAGTTGGAAGATCTTCTCACAAAACACGACGAATATATTGTCAACCAGGGATCTGATTTTTAAGAATTTGTCCTACGTATATTTCACTGACTTGGACGTATATTTTTACGAACTACGCCTCGGCATAATTCAAGACTACATATTTGTACCGCTGTTTGCCTTTCTAGTTCTTAAAACTTTTTCAGCGTTCTCCCAGTAAATCTTTTTTGTCCATATGTTGCCATCGAGTTTGAATCAATATTCTGTTGACACGTCTGTATTTATTTTCATAATAACCCTCAAAGATTTTCAGTTTCGTAAGAATTTTCCAGCAATAGTTTGAAAACTATGATGTGGATTGCTTTGATGTTTTAGAACACATAACATCTCCTGATACATCAGTAACAGACAAAATTAAAAGGACGAGTAGTAGATCCGCGGGATAGTAATGTAACCAGAGGGTGATTACCTCCAACCAGGACAAACACCTCCAACGTGTGGATGTGGTTGAGTGCAAACAAGGTTTATTTTTGACGATAATTAAGTCGATATGTTTGCTGGTTTTCCCTCGTTTAAATTTTAATAAGAAATTATGTACTATTGCCACTCTGGTCCCATTTCTTTTTTCTTAATGTGATGTAAACTCGAGGAAAAGATGAATAAAGGAATAATGAATGAAGAACTGTATCAGAAGTTTGGAAAATGAGAGTCATACCATATAGGTAAAACTGTTCGAGGAAGACAATGATGCCCAACCAGAGCAACTGCTAAATTTTAAATTAAGATTACAGAAGTTCCGTTTTGCAGAAAATACAGCCAAGCGACAATTTATAATGGACATAAGCAATAGGAAATTTAATCTAGGAATCACTTGCCAGGTTTTGAATTAAGCATGGTTACATCTTCGTGACTTCATCGTTTTCAACTAATTTTGCTTCAATTTATAATTATCTATATAATTCACCATAGTTTAAAAACAGAAGACAGCAAATAAAGGTTTGCCGGATGTTGTCGATGAAATAAAAGGCGCTTATCCTCTCGGAACACATGGTCTTATTCTCTATGTACTTTTTTCACGAGGCTCCATTTAAACCTTTCATTGTTGCTTATTAAGCCATAGTTATATCGTTTTCTTTATGAATAAGATTCGATATTTTCTTCGTGTTTTTGGAACAGTGATGGGCAAAATAAGTACTTATCAAAGCCAAAGAGTATGTTTGGAAAGAACCCCCTTATCAGTATAATAAGTTTACTTTAAGTTATTATATTATTGTTTTTACTTCTTGAACTTTTAAGATGTTAATTGAATACATTTTAATTACAGTAGTACGCGTTTTGAGGATTAAGTGTGTGACATCTCAACGATTGCCACAATATCTTAAAAAACTTTACACGTGTTTTCGTGTAATACTTTTTATGCAGCGACAGTTGGTTGAGTGCTACAAAAACAAGAATAACATAAAAAAAATCTTGTGTAATCTTGTTCAGATTGGTGTACAACTTCTACTGCCACACTGCACTATTGAACAAAATGTCCTGATATGTCTTGTGTGGGAAATATGTATCACACAGAGGCAATCCCTGTATGGAAAATAACTTTCGGTTGTCGTGGAAGGTGTAAGTTTGATGTGACAATGTGCTGCTATTGTAGCAATCATCCAGATGTAACAAACTAAATGATTTGTCTTTGATTACAAGTACGCCTTACAATTAACAAAGAAACATTTACGTGGGTTTAAATAAATGTTTTTAAATCACAATCTGTTCAAATATTGTAGCTTCACACTGGTCATTTGTCTGATAAATGTGCAAGCCGTCATACTAATTTTCTCACTGGCAGTGATATATAATCACATTTTATCGAAATAAATAAATTGTCGTAAGAGTCAAAAATGCTAAAATGTCCATGAGGATATCACATAATAGTCATTTTCTGGTTAACACATATCTTTTTGACGTTGGATAAAAATAAGAAGCATAAAACAATTCATACAAACATTATTTATTTTAGTGTGTGACATTATATAACGAATATAGTGATATGACTTATACACAATGGGCTGTCATAGCGCAGAAAACCGGAAGTTATTTTCTCAATTTGCCGGAAATTACGTCACGGCCTTTGAAACATGTCTTCAGGACTACTGTCAAATCTACAATTGTGGAGACACACAGTATGGTGGTGAGGAACAATAATTATATGTACACAGAATAAAGTCGTTGACAGATATTGTACTCTTGTTTTGAGTAATGATTTTCTAAACCTAATTATGCTTACCTGAAGTTGTCATGTCATCAGATATTTGAATACATTGTATGTTCTACACTATGACCCAAATCACAATAGTATTGAATAGTTCTTTTGCTTGTGTTTGGGTTGTTTTTAAAATTAAGTAAATAAAGTAACATATCTATACTAATAACGATGGGTGAACTTTTTTTTACAAAATCATTTTTGTTTTTCAACCATATTCGCTAAGTGACTCTCAAATACATTCTGTCTTTCGTGAAGAAATTACAAACAATCCCCTCATGAGTGTTTGATATCTATACAGAAATTCATATCGATGTTTTAACGATTGATGATAAGTACCACGATAAGAAACCACCTCAGAAAAATCAAGACCTACATAACTACTTGTAAAAACATCTAAGTACTGTTGTATTACGTCTAGTTTGTGGCCGAACACAATGATTATTTTATCACAAAATGGTAACGACACAACCAATATGACACTCGTGTCATCCAACTGCTAGTGTTGGACCAAGAGCCATTAAAGTGTCATCACTGCTTTAATATCAAAGTCTATGTCAGTCTGATCACAGAATCAAATTCAAGATGTAAAATATAGCACTGCACTCTACATCCGATACATATTTCTAGTGTTAGACTGTTCAAATCTGTAAGCTACATTTTTGTTTTTATTTGATATGTGTCCGAATGATACATATATGTAGAAATTATACAGCCGTATCTCTATCCTGTTTTAAAAAAGACTAATATTTAAAAATCTTAATAAACGTATCTCTGGACTTAAAACATGATGTCGTCATTGGTAGCGAAATTGGGATTGCCTTTATTGGCTGCATGGAAGAAAATTAAAAATGTGTTGTATCAAATTCAATTTCGAATACAAAATCACTTGAATTATAAATTTCTTTGCTTTACAACACGTTTGTTTAATGTTATTATACCTTAGTGCATATCAGAGCCAATTCTAGACCATATAGTATTGTACACACATGTGTATGAAGTCTTAGCTATCACCTTTTAATCATAAAGCGCGAAATTCAATACGGTTCAGGTGTTGAACGAAATTAATCAGGAAATAATGTTTAATGATCACGTGACATCATAGCGACGTCAGTTTCATCATCAATATCGTAAACAGGTGTTCTGCCATCGGCTAGAACTTACAAATGTTCTGTTATCGGCTATAATATACAGGTGTTCTGTCATCGACTAGAACTTACAGATGTTCTGTCATCGACTAGAACAGACAGGTATTCTGTCGTCGGCTAGAACTGACAGATGTTCTGTCATCGACTAGAACTGACAGATGTTCTGTCATCGACTAGAACAGACAGGTATTCTGTCGTCGGCTAGAACTGACAGATGTTCTGTCGTCGGCTAGAACTGACAGATGTTCTGTCATCGACTAGAACTGACAGATGTTCTGTCATCGACTAGAACAGACAGGTATTCTGTCTTCGGCTAGAACAGACAAGTGTTCTGTCTTCGGCTAGAACTGACAGGTGTTCTGTCATCGGGTAGAATTCACAGGTGTTCTATCGCCGGGTAGAATTCACCTGTGTTCTGAAGTTACAGGTGTTGTGTTATCGACTAAAATTACTGATATTCTGTCTTTGGTTAGAACTTAAAGTGCTCTGATCTTACAGGTGTTCTGGTGTTATCGAATAAAATTGACTGAATTTCTGTCTTCGGCTAAATCTTAAACATTGCATAGAGTCACGAAAGTAGAGTATTATTCCGGAACACCAACGATCTGCTAACAATCATTGGTGTGAGATACACGTCCTACAGAAATACAAACCACCCAAATTCTTAACTTTGAATTTGATTCGATGTTTCATATTCTCAGTGATGACTTTCTTCGTAATATACAAATACACAAAATTTACTGTGAACAACTGTGTTTCTAAAAATACACAAGATCTGAACGTACCAAAGAACTACATTGCACAGTAAAAGTAGCAATACATTAATATATTCACCGCCTGGTTTTATTTCACCAGTAAATAAATACAGACACGTGAAATGTGATTGTTCCTACACGCATAATCAAAAACCAACATGAATACGTCATAAATATGTAATGTGCTGGAACATGGTACGGGGTACCATCAGCATGGGGGACAATGACGATGGAAAGTCATTATTAATGCTGTTACTCTACGACTCTCACACATCTAAATAACCATCTACAATATCTCAACAGAAATAACGCCTACACGAGCTGTATAACAAACAAAACACACCTGATCACGTGACAGTCAATTAACTCTCAAAATAATAGCACTAAGATCATCCACTCCGTTTTGATTCCCAAAAAATACTGCTGTTGTACCGATAGGAAAATGTCAACTGGTATTTATTCAAGTGCACAATGCACGATTTTGGGGGACCGTACATTAGCCCTGGCACGTGCTAAATGGTGTGTACGTACATTTCACCGAGGTGATGTGTTGCTTCAGCAACATTTTTCAATATTTCATGTACAGACTTTGACCTCTGATCCAGCATCAGGTGTCATCACATACTGACACTGTATGCGCATGCCCAGTGGAAATATATAGTCGCCTATTGAATCAGACGTTTTGTGGGTATTCCTGCCATTTTTGACCGGAAGCGACGTCAGCCCCACTTTTTTTTGAACTGGTCAATTATTTCGTCCTGGTCCACATACTCGAGGATATGTGGGGCCTGCAGAAGAATGCCCACTGTTCCCCCGAATGTCACCATCAGAAATATGTACAACAACAATCGGTCCATCACACGGGCAACATACCGCCAGTCGTCTAAAATCTGAAACAAAAAGCGGAAACAAAATTCCTTAATGCCTTGAATAACACGGAATACATTTCAATTGTATTTCTATTTTCTCTAATCTTTCTATTTCCAGGACTGAAATATATAATACCTACACAATCTCCTATCAATATTAAGGACAATATGACTTATTTAGAAGTTTTCAATAGACAGAAAACAATCAAATGCTAAACATGGAGATACATTTCTTAAAGTGAAAGAGTACTAAACTGATAAGTTCCATTGCTCATGAAGAGAATTACTAAAACCCTTTGTCCTGGTAGAATGATACAAACGTTTCACTGATTACACGTGTAATTAGCAACTCATCACGTAGTCATTTTTTCTAATCAAAAACAAAGAAATTAATTACATGCTCTGCCGTTACTTGGCATCCGCATATCGTGTACTTTAATAAAGCTTTCTTCAGCCTAATCATCGCTTCTTTGCCTAAGACCTCTGTTTATCAAAATAGTGTTGAAATGCACGTGTTACACGTGCTATTGACTCGAGATAAAAGTGCGCGCGTACTTACTGTTGCATATTCATCTTCGACCTCCAGATGTTGAGTGATGAATCTAAGGGCCTCTGTTGCTTTCATCACTTCCGATGACATCCGGTATCGAATTTGAGTGCCATCTCTGTCGGCGTTGTAATCCACTGTTGTCGGTTTTGGGTTCAGACGACAGTTGGGATGGTGTATTTCCGTCAACTCAAGCACTCCGGACGGTTTGTTCACCGGAAGTGTATTATGCATTTCTGTTGAACTTCCTTCTACTTTCGAGGCTTGCTTTTCTTCTTCCGGTTTTCTCCACCGTTTGTCATGATCAGGTCGTTCCATCAAAAGAAATCGGGGTAAAATGTTTAGAAAGACGTATCTGATCCAATAAGGCATTCTATGTGTTCGGGGTGTCCTGTAGTTTCTATTTATAACAACAACTGTACAAACAATGGCGAAAATATTCATGATGAAGGTAAACAAGAGATATTTGGCAATCAGGGGGATGGTCAGGGAAGGAGGTAAAATCTTGGAAATCAGAAGAAGGAACACAACTAACGCCAGTAAAATGGATATACAAAGGGTGATCTTTTCTCCCGCGTCTGCCGGCAGCGCGAACACACATACACTTACAAACGAGATGAGGACACAAGGGATGATTAGGTTCACTGTGTAGAATAATGTTTTCCTCCTTAAAATGAATTTAAACACGACCATAGACTTGGTATCGTTTCCCCCTGGTTCGATCCTACCAGGACAATCGATCACGTCCCACACGCCACTCTTGAGGTAGTCGGTGAAGTCTAGCGTGCTCATGTTTCTGTAAAAGTAAAATTTCATCTGATCGCCTTTAAATGTCCAGGAACCGAATTTCATCTCACATTCCTGTTGGTCAAATGGGAAGTACTGGACATCGATGGTGCACGAGCTCTTGTAGATCGCAGGTGGAATCCAGTAATGGTTGCCCGTGTAGTTTAGCACCACGTTAGATTCGTACGACACCTCATAGTTCCCGTCAGCACTAGGAGGAGACAAACAAATAATTATAAATACATGTCTGTAACCAGTCATCTATAAGACTAAACATCAATAACACAGACCTACTGTACGGACGGTTTTGATTTTACCAACCAAATTAAGAAATTATATCAATTGTTACGATATGTGTGTTTTCTATCCTTTCATGTCGGGTCTCAAAATATGGAACAGGTGTAAAATGCAGTTTTTACACATTGCTTGGTATATATATATATATCACTAAATTCTTATCCATCTTTGTTTTGTATACTCCATACAGTAACGTTAATAAAACAATGTAGATAAGCGAGGAAACATGGATACCCGGATACAAGGATACCAGGATACAAGGTTCATTCTTGTTCAGTCTCTCTTTCAATAAACATATCAGGACTCAATTTTAAAATGCTAATTCTATGTTTGCTGTTATAAGACAAAGTTTCATTTCTTGAATTCACACAGTTTCTCGTTTTACTTATATATTCCCAGGAGTCCAGCACAAGTACGGAATAATGCATGACATCCGTATAAAGTTAGGCTTATTAACGATTAGAGCGATACAAAGAAGGACAAACAAGCGGGTAACCGGATGTAAGGAAGTATTATACCCTTACAGACATAGGAGGCTTAAATTACCTTCACTGCACCACAGGAGACTCAAAATAACAAGATATATTTGAGACAGTAAGCGGAAGAGGTCTTTCATAAAATTAGAAGTAAGATATTTTAGTGTTTATTGAATTTGAATTTGGATTATGATAAATGCTCTTTTAAGAAATAATAAGTCTTTTTTTTTAAATTTTAACAGGATTTTCAAAGAAATATGGAACAACGTGCGTTAAAGATATATATTCAAATATCTGTCATAATGCAGTTCACACATCTTTAAAATAAAGGTAAAAATGTTAAATTTCCATTTTGAAAGAATTGTTTCCTTTATTTTTCCTCCTTAAAACATAGCCGTCGTTCATTGATTAGACGTTATACGCATTGACGAAACAGTCCGACAACTGATGGAGTAGCGAAACAGACTGCTACACTTCCGCGAGAATGTTCGTCAACTATTGGAAGTAAACAGAAAGTACTTCCACAGTTAAGTCATCTTTTTATTTCATGCTCTGTGAGAGATTTTAGATACTTAAATTTCCATTCACATATTACTTAGTGTTTATTCAAAATAAATTCACAAAACTCAGAAGATTTGAACAAACGCTTGTTCAAGCGAGGTTTTACCATAGTGTCCACCATCCTGCAAAGACTGGTCACATGACAGACTATATAGTAACAGAGTCTTAATACTACACTTCTAGTGGCCGGTAACGTTTTGCTCTATGTCCTAGACAAGCCCCCATGAAGTCCCCCCCTCCCGAATTTGTGACCGATAACGCGTGGCTTTACGTCACACACAAGCCCTTTATGTTTGTTGACTGTCCTTATAAAGCTGGACTATTAGTTACACCAAGTATTGGCGGGTTACTTTTGGTGATAGGTAAGTGTATTTATATATCTCCTTTAATCGTCAGGTGACAGACTGTATCACCGTCACACCCCGTCCATTGTAGAACGTTATCACAGGCGTCCGGTACCAGTATCCATTCACATCTTCAAAACACGAACCTCCATCCCCAGTAAACATACTCACAAGCCGAAACATTGCCATCAGCAACGATATGTGTATCGGCACTAGGAAAAAGTCAACATCAACATATGGCACTCATTCCAGGAGCATGCGGCGTAATAATTGGCGTGAATGGCGGAGTGTGATGGGGAGGAAAGGGGTGTGAAGGGGCCGGTCAAGTGATTAACACGCGAACCTACACAACAGTAATCTATGTGTAATAGAATGTCTGAATGGATTTAAGATAGCCTCATACAGCTGGCTTTGATATAGGTGAAATTATCGATAAACTCTACTAGAACTTTTGAAATGATTGCGCGTGTATTGTGTAGTTATATCATGACGTATTGTAGAGAAACGCACACGCTCACAGTTTCATTAACACGCAGATCGTACATAACTATCTAACAGAACAGTAAGTGTTTGTAATAATGACTCAGGTTAGTCAACGAAGTCAAACGCTTCATATTTACACTGTTTCGCCACGATAAAGTTAGCACGCACATCTACACGTGTATGTTTGTCCTTAGAGAAACAATTTCCGAGATAATGTGTTCATAAATATATGGGTTTGTTGTAGAGGTCGCTATTGTCTGATTCATTCTGTCACGTTGTATCTAACGTCAAATTGAAAAAAGTGTGAAATGAAGAAAAGAAATTCGTTCTTCAGGATGTATGAAAGTCATGTTTGATCAGAAGTATGCCATAATTCAATATAAAGTAAACTTCTGTAAAATAGACTTTTGTGTTTTTATATACTTTCTGGTAGATGCTCGTAGAATTTTTCCTGTGGACTTCATTTTGTGACAGCGTGGTTAAGTCGTAATTCGGTTTTTAGCGTCAACAATTTCAAAGTACTTGATTATAGCTCGCGAAGTTATTCCTACTTACAGACAATGATATCACTGGCAGAGTACAGTTATGATTTTCTGTCGGTAAAGTTATATCTACTAAAAGACAATGACTGGAAATTCCTCTGGAAGTTATTCCTACTTACAGGCAATGATATCACTGGAAGAGAAAACAGAACAGTTTTGACTTTGTATCGGTAACATTATTTCTACTAAAAGACAATGGAAATTCCGGAAGCGGAAACAGAACAGTTTTGATTTTATATCGGTAACATTATTTCTACTAAAAGACAGTGGAAATTCCGGAAGCGGAAACAGAACAGTTTTGATTTTATATCGGTAACATTATTTCTACTAAAAGACAGTGGAAATTCCGGAAGCGGAAACAGAACAGTTTTGATTTTATATCGGTAACATTATTTCTACTAAAAGACAGTGGAAATTCCGGAAGCGGAAACAGAACAGTTTTGATTTTATATCGGTAACATTATTTCTACTAAAAGACAGTGGAAATTCCGGTATCGGAAACAGAACAGTTTTGACTTCGTAGCAGAAACATAATGCCTATTTGAATCAGCAACCTGCCAATTGGTAGACACTGATTAAATTCATTAAGAAAACTTACAGCTGTATGTAGTGGAGCCTACATAATGCCTGAAAGGTTTGATTTACAGAGGGACCTGGTGCGGTCTTTTGAAATCGTTATATTCATTGAAGTATAGATATAATGTAATAAATATTTATAGCGATTTAATGCGGTAACAGAGTGAACTTGAGGGGGATGACTGTAGATCTGGTGAGTGTTAGGTCACTATAACACTATAAACTGGCATGATAAAACACAGAATATCTTTACACGGCAGAAGTCTACTAGCGGTCGTCTGGGCAACTCGGTGCAATATCTGTGTAGTAATATTGTACTTAGTGGTAACCATACTTATAATTTGTTAATGTTGGTTTTATAATAGACACTAATCAACATAGACGCCTAGAAATGTGTTATACTACGAAAATATTTAAACGATAATATCAGAATTACAACAGATCTCTCCACATACAGCCACGTGCATCTGACAGAACGGGCAGTGTGGTCGTGTTAACATTGGGTAAACGTTAACATTAAGTGTTCTGGTGTCAGGTTTTAACGTGGATTTTATAACGGATATCATATCTGTATCCAATAATACAGCTGACAAGTAATTTGATCATATAAATGTTTATCCAGAATCATACTTATATAAATCAGAACAGCCCCTATCTTCCAATTTAACTATCAGTTTATATAGAAATTCTACATACGGTAGAATCATTGCGTCCCTAACCATATGACCACATAAAAGTGATATGCATGGTCATTGCCTGAACCTAAACTACATGTCCACTCAGAAAACATGTCGCCATAGAGGTGCTATTTAGGTATCCGAAATGGTCAACAAATTTTTGATGGCACCAGTAAAATATAAAATGTATACCCAGTACATACTTACGGGACTGATTTAGGATCGATTCGGTTGTGATTGTTATCAAATGTTATCTGCTGAATGTGCTGCGATTTGTATTGTTGTCTATCTTTAAGATGAACTTACAATGCTAAAATGAATTGGTTTTATTGGTCGTCACCGCAATCTCATTGGAAAAATTTGTTTCTTTCTGCGGCATGAAGTTCGAACTTATTTCCTTCCCTTTGTTGATATTTTGTTCATGTTTAACTAATTTTGAGTTTACATGACGATTTTGGAAACAAAATTAATTTTGTTTTCTTTTCTCTATATTTTTATTATCGTAATTGCCGCATTTTTGGTCAATATCGACAGCGTTCTATCAAATAAGGATTTTATTCTCTTCACTGAAAATGATTATTTAACATCTAATTCGTCCAGTAGGAATCCCTTTAATCCTCATAAATATCAAGCTACATTATATACAGTGTTAATCGTCTTGTCCCTGGAAAGTTTAATTCAAACTTTAGCCAGATTTCCTTTCAACCTTTAGATCTGCACCACCTGACGGTAGATGGGCTGATGGCCTGCACCATCTGACGGTAGATTGGCGGATGGCCTGCACCACCTGACGTTAGATTGGCGGACGGATGGCCTGCACCACCTAACCGTAGATTGGCGGATGGCCTGGTTTGCACCACCTGGCGTTAGATTGGCGGATGGCCTGCACCACCTAACGGTAGATTGGCGGATGGCCTGGTTTGCACCACCTGGCGTTAGATTGGCGGATGGCCTGCACCACCTGTCGGTAGATTGGCGGATGGCCTGCACCACCTAACGTTAGATTGGCGGATGGCCTGCACCACCTGTCGGTAGATTGGCGGATGGCCTGACGGTAGATTGGCGGATGGCCTGCACCACCTAACGGTAGATTGGCGGATGGCCTGCACCACCTGACGGTAGATTGGCGGATGGCCTGCACCACCTGACGTTAGATAGGCGGATGGCCTGTACCACCTAACGTTAGATTGGCGGATGGCCTGCACCACCTGACGGTAGATTGGCGGATGGCCTGCACCACCTAACGGTAGATTGGCGGATGGCCTGGTTTGCACCACCTGGCGTTAGATTGGCGGATGGCCTGCACCACCTGTCGGTAGATTGGCGGATGGCCTGACGGTAGATTGGCGGATGGCCTGCACCACCTGACGGTAGATTGGCGGATGACCTGCACCACCTGACGTTAGATAGGCGGATGGCCTGCACCACCTAACCGTAGATTGGCGGATGGCCTGGTTTGCACCACCTGGCGTTAGATTGGCGGATGGCCTGCACCACCTAACGGTAGATTGGCGGATGGCCTGGTTTGCACCACCTGGCGTTAGATTGGCGGATGGCCTGCACCACCTGTCGGTAGATTGGCGGATGGCCTGCACCACCTAACGTTAGATTGGCGGATGGCCTGCACCACCTGTCGGTAGATTGGCGGATGGCCTGACGGTAGATTGGCGGATGGCCTGCACCACCTAACGGTAGATTGGCGGATGGCCTGCACCACCTGACGGTAGATTGGCGGATGGCCTGCACCACCTGCCGTTAGATAGGCGGATGGCCTGTACCACCTAACGTTAGATTGGCGGATGGCCTGCACCACCTGACGGTAGATTGGCGGATGGCCTGCACCACCTAACGGTAGATTGGCGGATGGCCTGGTTTGCACCACCTGGCGTTAGATTGGCGGATGGCCTGCACCACCTGTCGGTAGATTGGCGGATGGCCTGCACCACCTAACGTTAGATTGGCTGATGGCCTGCACCACCTGTCGGTAGATTGGCGGATGGCCTGACGGTAGATTGGCGGATGGCCTGCACCACCTGACGGTAGATTGGCGGATGACCTGCACCACCTGACGTTAGATAGGCGGATGGCCTGCACCACCTAACGTTAGATTGGCGGATGGCCTGCACCACCTGACGGTAGATTGGCGGATGGCCTGCACCACCTGACGTCAGATTGGCGGATGGCGTTTGTTATGTAACTTAATTTGCAAACCCAAAGAACTTTTCGTTCTCAATCTATATTCTTTTTGTCACAATCACCATCGAAAGCATCAGCTCGAATACGTACTTGTTAAACAATACGATGTCCGGTCGCCACGCCTTCTCTGGATGAATCCGTATACTGGTAATGTCTCCGAAGTCTGCAGGATTCCACTTCAGCTGATAGTCGTACCAATACTGAAACAATGCTTCATATGTAAGTATCAGTTCTCACGAAATACAAGCCAAGTCCATTTTAATCGAAGTCTTCTATATAAAAGAGTAAGTAGTTCAATCACCATAACAGTATTAACCTATGTTAATATACAGTCTGTTAATTTAAACACCGGTAACAATTCGTGTGACAATTACAGATGTATTTAAAGCACGCACCAGGATCTTACTTAGATGGATGAAACCCGCACATCCAGGGTAGTTATCCGGCATAAGTTTAAAATATCCGACATATTGGTTTTCAATACACGGAAATTATGTGCAAGAAAAGAAAAGTGCAGTCTTGAAAATGGAATTTGTTAACACTCTAGTGATGCCTAATGTTGGTGTTATAGGTTTCACGAGCTTAGGACGTTACACAGACAGTGTATTGTCGGATAAATACGGGGTATCCGTCTACTAAACAACAGACAAGAACACTGATATCGACATTTTTGATTCAATGCTAATGATGTACGTTTGATTCGGAGTTATGGGATGTCGGTGAGAGTCTAAGCATACCTCATACGGAAGTCTGCAAAACTCTCTGTAAACATCTAGATAAACCTGTGTCCTGTGCATCAGTGCCCGTATATAATGAAAGAAAGGCTGGTGTATCGGTCCCCCGGGAGGCCAGTTACACACCTGTGTCTACAATCTACAGCGACTTGGTTTAGCAATATCTGGCGTATTTAGCCTATCGTTTTCATCAAATATTAGCCGTGCGATTTGGAAATCATTGTGAACCGTCAATAAACAAATGTTTCTTACCGATGTTATTTCGCTGTTCCGAGTTTATTTTGTGATATGTTTTTTAGAAACAGATATGGGAATGCCGCTTGTCGGTCGATATACACAGAGTGTATTGTAGGTGATGACAAATTGTCTTGTCGAAGTGTAAATAAAAACTAGACGCATATCTGCGCTCATATTCAGACGTTTGCTAGCCTTGTTTATTATAGAGCCACGAATTAATCTACTTATTATATCGAAACATATGTATATATATGTTTGTCCATAATGACGTTTCCGAACTAATTTTACTTACCAGCTGTAGCCAGACATTAGTCTTCATGATCTGGTTTTTCTCATCCTACAACAAAAAAGGTGTGCGACAATTATACATATATCAGCACGTGATAGTTGGAACCTTATCCTTGTATACACGTGTCCTATACATCCTATAAAACATTTTATAGGAGAATTCAGTTCGTCTAAACACACGTAAATATTCTAGAACAATGGTAAGGTAAAGCCATAACATCGACTTCCAACATGTGAAAGCTGATATTCATACGAAATAAAGTTTGATTGAGGAAACACCCGACAATGCTCCACACGAGTTCGTGAGAAGCCTAAAGAAGCCCTACGTGCATAATAGGACCTATCTATGTTTTGAGACACAATGGCGTGGTGCTATCTAGGACGGCTGAAACAGTAACATAGATGTATGTCAAACAGCAAGAGTACTAGTAGGGTAGTCATCACCTATATACCACACCATATCAACAATAGAACTAGTAGCCATCACCTATATACCACACCATATCAACAATAGAACTAGTGGTCATCACCTATAAACCACACCATATCAACAATAGAACTAGTAGTCATCACCTATATACCACACCATATCAACAATAGAACTAGTAGTCATCACCTATATACCACACCATATCAACAATAGAACTAGTAGTCATCACCTATATACCACACCATATCAACAATAGAACTAGTAGAGTCATCACCTATATACCACACCATATCAACAATAGAACTAGTGGTCATCACCTATATACCACACCATATCAACAATAGAACTAGTACAGTAGTCATCACCTATATACCACACCATATCAACAATAGAACTAGTAGTCATCACCTATATACCACACCATATCAACAATAGAACTAGTAGTCATCACCTATATACCACACCATATCAACAATAGAACTAGTAGTCATCACCTATATACCACACCATATCAACAATAAAACTAGTAGTCATCACCTATATACCACACCATATCAACAATAGAACTAGTAGTCATCACCTATATACCACATGATACAACATTAGAACTAGTAGTCATCACCTATATACCACACCATATCAACAATAGAACTAGTAGCCATCACCTATATACCACACCATATCAACAATAGAACTAGTAGTCATCACCTATATACCACACCATATCAACAATAGAACTAGTAGTCATCACCTATATACCACACCATATCAACAATAGAACTAGTAGTCGTCACCTATATACCACACCATACAACAATAGAACTAGTAGCCATCACCTATATACCACACCATATCAACAATAGAACTAGTAGCCATCACCTATATTCCACACCATATCAACAATAGAACTAGTAGTCATCACCTATATACCACACCATATCAACAATAGAACTAGTAGTCATCACCTATATACCACACCATATCAACAATAGAACTAGTAGCCATCACCTATATACCACACCATATCAACAATAGAACTAGTAGCCATCACCTATATACCACACCATATCAACAATAGAACTAGTAGCCATCACCTATATACCACACCATATCAACAATAGAACTAGTAGTCATCACCTATATACCACACCATATCAACAATAGAACTAGTAGTCATCACCTATATACCACACCATATCAACAATAGAACTAGTAGTCATCACCTATATACCACACCATATCAACAATAGAACTAGTAGTCATCACCTATATACCACATGATATCAACAATAGAACTAGTAGAGTAGTCATCACCTATATACCACACCATATCAACAATAGAACTAGTGGTCATCACCTATATACCACACCATATCAACAATAGAACTAGTAGAGTAGTCATCACCTATATACCACACCATATCAACAATAGAACTAGTAGTCATCACCTATATACCACACCATATCAACAATAGAACTAGTAGTCATCACCTATATACCACACCATATCAACAATAAAACTAGTAGTCATCACCTATATACCACACCATATCAACAATAGAACTAGTAGTCATCACCTATATACCACATGATATCAACATTAGAACTAGTAGTCATCACCTATATACCACACCATATCAACAATAGAACTAGTAGCCATCACCTATATACCACACCATATCAACAATAGAACTAGTAGTCATCACCTATATACCACACCATATCAACAATAGAACTAGTAGTCATCACCTATATACCACACCATATCAACAATAGAACTAGTAGTCGTCACCTATATACCACACCATACAACAATAGAACTAGTAGCCATCACCTATATACCACACCATATCAACAATAGAACTAGTAGCCATCACCTATATACCACACCATATCAACAATAGAACTAGTAGTCATCACCTATATACCACACCATATCAACAATAGAACTAGTAGTCATCACCTATATACCACACCATATCAACAATAGAACTAGTAGTCATCACCTGCATACCACACCATATCAACAATAGAACTAGTAGCCATCACCTATATACTATAACGTATCCTATTAACAAAACACATAAACAGAGTACACTGCTATGCAAAGACTCTTTTGATTGATATAGTTTTCCATACTCGCATCATGCATGTATTTGTTTATAAATACAATTTGTCTGGACGCGGCATATTGATAGAAAGTGTCTGTGGAGAGACCGCTACCAACCATTGTATGGATGCATGTATCAATTCATTATGGCGTCCGGCCATTTATCAGGTCAGAGGTACAGCACCACACTGGGCGCCAATTATCTCCCTTGCTATAAGTGCGCCAGCTAATTTGGGCGAAATATATACTCGTCGTATAAACTGCAGCAGCTAAAGAAAGACTCAGTATATCGTAAAACAAATACTTCCGGTTAGGAGTGTCAAGGTTAGTTGACTAAAGCTGCATGTACTACCTCAAATGTACACCATCATTAACACGTTTGGTACATGTGATATAATACTATTAATCAAATCCACGACAGAGTCTGGTCGAGTCCAAAACCATTCCCGAGACCAGCTTCACCTACTCCACAGCTTTTATCTCAAACCCCAGTCATAAACACAACTGCATTTCAACCGTGCGAATCAATAGAGCTTTTGAATTCTAACGAAATGGGATTTCTACACGACCGAGCTTTCTCCTGGTCAAAGTTCCGCTCACGCACTCAGCCGCAGGCGTAAAAACATACAGTATACAACCTGTGGTTATTTTGTCAAATAGTCATACTGTCAAACGACAAATGTACTTACATGTTACCTTTCTGGTCTTAATATTATATAATGTATATACATTAAAGCTAGCGATACATATAGTGCCAGATATTACAGAGTATATATATATGTCACAGAAAAAAAATCCAGTGGTTGTTTGTCGTGATATATACATGTTTTCAAAATTTCAGAGAAGACTAGTTTCGTATGATAATTTCTCGGAATCAGCCGGCAGCGCGGGCGGTTGGTTTATTTAAGGAAACGGTGATCATGTACTGTCCTGTGTTGTCGTGGTTGTATCCAGGTACGAGACACTGGATCCCAAATTTCCTTGGACAGAATGCAGCATGCTTATCGCATAGTGTGTTTTGCATTAGCCTTTGGCTATTGTAAGGAAAACCCGTCTCAAATGACCCTGGCTGTTAACGGGACGACAAACTCGGCAAACACACATATCGTGGAACCTTAGTTTTGTAACTCAGCATGTTTTTTGTGGAAGTTCGAATTCTATTGTCTTTCGGAACACTACCTTGTGGAATACGACATTTTGTATAACTAGCATAAAATACTTCTTATCTATGATACACTATACTTTTCAACAACAAAATACTTAATTATAACTGAAAAACAGAGTCATATACATATCGGAATACCATTCTTACTATGAAAACTAAAATTAATTGGCTCTTTTTCACATAATCGGTTATATCTCAGAGTTCTTTGTGGGTGTTAAGACATAAATCCCGACCTATTACGGTAAGTAGGACGGCTCCAGATGGCATACATCTTAAATAAATCAAAACTCTAAAAAATACATAACGCTCTCCTCGAAAACATGATGTTTGTACATAAACAATCATACAGACTAGGCACTATTAAAACAACTTAACATCTATTAACGATCAAAATATAACTATAGAACTATCATAAATAAGATACCCTCTACCCTTCATTACTTAAGGAAGGAATTGTTTCGCCTGTACTTTACATCCGACGCGTATACTGATGTAAACAAAGATTGTATGAACGCGTTACACTTATGTTTAAACTTCATGCATGGAAACCTGAAGCAGGCGCGTGGCTGAGAGTACTCGCAAATCAATGCAATTACTAAAGACATTGACGTCACCATTTCACGACAGGTAAGAGAAAGCACGTGTAAAAGGGATTCAAAGATAAAGGAAGTGTTTCATGTCGAGTGACTTCAGGTGGTCTCCGTAGTTTCTAGAACTTACGTGTAATTCAATAATGACAGCCAAAAAGCACCGTATCCATGTCACTTAACCGAAATACATCCCACCTGTAGGTAATCGATATCACCAGAACAGTTGACCTTTTTGTCCTCAGAATTACAGTATATCTTCATTCCAAGTCAAACCGATGAGGCAAGTTAATACATATCGATAAACACAAACTACCACAGCGATTCATAGCCGATCTGTCAGTACATACATGTTCTATACCATATGTTATGTAACATTATAACGACTATTGATTAGCTGAACTCTGACCAGATAGCAATACCAATCTTTCAGTGGTAAAATCCAAGATGGTCACCTATCGGCCATGTGATGTTTCGGATCGATTCCAAAATTAACTATACACAACTAAGAACCAAAGCAAAGCTGCGTAGGAAATTTGAGAATTATCAACCAGCGCTTCTCCAGAGAAAGCAATAACAAGAATTGTTTCAGGACGGGCGGACGACGGACGAACGAAGGACAATTTGATTAGTCAATCATTTGTTGGGCTAAAAACAAGTTTAAAAAGTTGAAAACAAGACTTACCACGGTGATGATCTGACTGAGAGCGAGGCTGAACTTGACTATGAGTGATTGTGATACGTTCTCCACGGGCCGAATCAGAGGGTTGTAGTTACTTAATTCAAATAGCTCCTCTACTAAGGAAACCTCGTCGTCACTGCCTAGTCCTGTAAAAAATACAACTAATATTAAACATGTACATTTCTTCTTTTAAGAATAAAATATGAAATTGTTTAATCAATGCCACAAACATAATCTTTATTTCGACCGAAAATCTATCTAAAGACTGATGATATGGAACTGGATGCCATGATAATTTTGTTTCCAATGTAATCGAACTGAAAAAATGTACATTGGCATTCCGAAAGTACTCATCATCACCGCAGGTCCGTCACATACCATGCACTTACATACAGCCCCCACCCCCTCCAATTGATTATCGTTCAATCGTTCAAAAGAAATATACCTCGTTAAGGTCAGAGGTTAAAATAAAAATATCAGGGCCACGGATATATCACCAAAAAGATTCTTTTGTTTATATTTCAGAAGACATGTTCCAATTAAGTTGTACAACGCCCCAGTGACCTAGATTTGCTAAACATCCTAACAAGTAGCAGACCAGGTGTAGAACGAGCGCCACGTATGATTTGTTTACAGTAAACACTCAGTAAACTATCATTTGACCTTATGTAAATATAAAAGTCACAGTGACCTATTATGAAATTTAATTCTACACTTCCTCTTCTCTACGTGTAGCTATGTATAAAAAGTAACAGTAAGAGTACAACTGAGCAGTATTTGTTTATGTTAAGAGAAGTGGAAAAATAAACTTAACAGTTTCGTAAAATAATGACTGTAAATGCTGTGGAAAACATATGAAAGCTTGCACGTAAGTAGAGACCCCGGGACAGACACACACGTAGAGCTAATTACAACATCTAAATCATTTCTTTTTAATGATGTATTATTTACTGAATCAATGTCAAATAAACAATGAAGAAGTTATTGATATTAAGCCTGATTCAGGGCCAGGAGGTAAACATTCATAGATCAGTAGGAACTAGCTGTAATACACCACGGACCATCACGTGATCACACGCTACCCGATCTACAACAGGGGTCGTATATCGACATCAGTACCTCGTTAAACATTAGGGTTGGCTATGTTAGATAAATCACCCAATATCATCATTGTCCTTGGAAATATTTCTATACCTATACCTAGGGTGATACATAAGTCTATAGGAACGGGTGACCAATTCAATCAGGTGCTAGTTCACCTCTGGTTCAATATAACACAATACATGTACTAATATATTTCAATAAATAGTTTAAGGTAAATTATTTCGTCATTAAGTCGGATTGTTGACTCTACAGAGCAGAACTTGACTTTTCTTTAAATATCACCCGATACCTTAACAAAACACACTTAAGTGAACGATGGAGTCTGAAACTCCCCTGGTGTGCTTTGACATTCGGTTAGGTCGATATCCCTTGCTCCACGTACGAATTTTCAAATCTTTGCCTTTAGGAATTTAACTTTAATATTCACCTAACGATATACACCATCAAGACTCAATTCCCATTGAAAATCACCATTTATTTAACCTTTTAAGCAATCCCTTACTACTATTGGAAGAGTATAGTTAAGAGATTTAGAGCTGGTTTGCAATGTCTACCTATGAACTTTTGAGTGAGTACAATACATAGATTAAGAGCTGTCGATATGATTTGCATTGTCTACCCATGGACTTTTGAGTGAGAACAATTCAGAGCTTTATTCTCTGAACTATACTGTCTCAGTCGGTCATAGAAAGACAACGTTTGTTTTAGGTCACCTGTAAAATTGCCATTGGACTTTCAGGCTATGCAACAGTGACTTTTAGTGTCAAAGACATAACCTTGATATGGTACACTGTATGTAACATAATAACATGCAAGGGCATAATGACACCGACAAACCAGTCCATACATATAAATGTACCACACCCTCTTCAAAGGTGAACAAAGTGACTACTACAATCAAAAGTGCTGCCAGCCAGACTCCGTGGAGTTGAGAACCTTTTTTTTTCAATACAGACCTATTCAACTACGATAAACTCTCTTGAGTATCTTTCTGACACAGTACGGATTTCAATTAGTGGAGCTGTCATGCGTTTTGTAATGTCAATATTGCATACGACGTGAACGAGTGTGTCGTATGATGTTATATAGTTGTATTTGTCTGTCCAAGCGGGCAGGCTAATGTAAGCACGTACTTTTACGTGCCCTACAATGCTTGTTGACGGGACCTAACAATGATTGTTGACAGAAGTGATTGTTATGACACGTGTTAATTAGTGCTGGACTACACTGCTCATTAACCAAGTATACATTCTTCTGGTGTGTTAAGCCTATAAGTCGAATGCACATGCGCAACATGTTATGGTTGATTCACAAGTATCGCACAATTCAATATACAAGACGCTCTTTTTAAAATGTAAGAAGGCAAAAATCGATTGGGTAAAATCGAGCTACCAGGCTACTTTGGATCTATTGAAAATGTATCACTACCAGTGTTTTGAATGCTCGACAACATTCTATATAAATATATGCTCATGTTTTCTGGCACCGTCAGTATTCTGAATGCTTCATATATTAAGGAACAATCAGCGATTAAAATACGACCCTTTAACAAACATTACTACACGTATACGAGATTATGTTAACTCTAATTTAATCGTCATGTTTAATGATATATCCGGCTTTCAGCTTTTGATCTAACACGTCGTAACCCTAAACGAAGTACCAGAGAGTTTCGGAACACAAACCATCACTTTTCTACCACTTAACAGTGTGGTTCTAATAAAATCCAGGACTAATGGCCAGTATGTCAAAATAAAAAGAATTGGTGAAAGCAGTAGAGAACATGGAGCAAAACAAACGGGGGGAGAAAGGGGAACGAGACAGAGGAAAGCAACGGGCTGTCAAAATACAAATGGAGGGGGGAGAGAGAAAGGAGAAATAGTAGACAGTGTAAGGCAACAGGTTGTCAAAATACAAACGGTGGGAGACAGTGGAAAGAGGTAGCGGAGGGCAAATGTCTGTCATAATACAAACGTTGGAAGAAAGGGGGGAATAGACAGTGGAGGGCAACAGGCTGTGAAAATACAAACGGCAGTGGGAAAGTGGAAAGAGGCAGCGGAGGGCAACAGGCTATCAAAATACAAATGGGAGGAGAAAGAGGCAGGGCAACACGCTGTGAACATACAAACGGTAGGAGACAGGACAAAGAGGCAGCGGAGGGCAAATAGACTGTCAAAATACATCGTGTAAACTACAGGTATAACACGTGTAATCGGCATTGTTGCGATAAACACCCATAATGAATATAAGTTTCAGTTGTTGTCTTTAAAGACTTGACCATAACACTAATTGATGAACCATTAAGAAAGTATTTAACAGGAGATTCCACACAGTCGTTAAATTCTTGGCCGACGACGGGAGACGACATTGCAGCATTGCTTACTGTTTGTTCAGTGTTTACATAAAGGTTTACTGTGGTACAGAGCGTGGCTTTACAAAAACAACATCTGAGGTAAAACATAATCCAATATTCACAACTTCAAGGCCATATACATAAAGGCCGTCTAGATCGGGACAAAGTTGCAGTTCCGAATCAATGAAAACCACACATCAACATTATAACATTACTATCAGAAACTATTTTCTAGAACTAGTTTGGCTTTCGATGGACACACCCTCATTCTCTAAACATCAGACATGACCAATGTTGACGATCGATGAGTAGTTGAAACTCAAGTAGTAAAACACCTCTCAAACAGGAACGAACACGTCTATATGTAGAGCAGTAGAATAATGTGTGGAAATCCCGACGAATACGGCACTCGTGATGTGAAATATTGTAAAATAAATATAATTCACTGTGTTTCCTGCCAATCACTAGTCAAACATCAAACAGAAAACAGCAGAATAAATTCAATTAATGTCTATTGTATATTGCTCCTTAAAACAACAAGTAAAAAATTCTCATAAGTCTTAAGTCAAACTCAAACAACTAAAACCTGTTGTATTATGGAAGTCGTGAGCCTGTTGTATCATGGTAGACGTGAGTCAGTTGTATTATGGTAGACGTGGGCCTGTTGTATTATGGTAGTCAAGAGCCTGTTGTATTATGGTAGTCGTGAGCCTGTTGTATTATGGTAGACGTGAGTCATTTGTATTATGGTAGACGTGGGCATGTTGTATTATGGTAGACGTGAGTCAGTTATATTATGGTAGACGTGAGTCAGTTATATTATGGTAGACGTGAGTCAGTTGTATTATGGTAGACGTGAGCCAGTTGTATTATGGTAGACGTGAGTCAGTTGTATTATGGTAGACGTGGGCCTGTTGTATTATGGTAGACGTGAGCCAGTTGTATTATGAAAATCTATATAGTATACAAAGCAGTATTTGTTATTTCTGTAGCACAGATCACTTCTCTAAATTATCTTTAAATAGTTCTCTTAATTATAATTATGCTTTTTCTACTGAGCAAGCCTTTAGTTTACTGATTTATGATAAATCGTTATTTTACTGGGAGTTTCTGTAGTCTTCATAGAGAAAGAAATAAACGTGTAGAAATATGACGTAACGTTTGAGATCATCGCGACTATTACTTTAAGATCATTTCCTCATGTCTAACATATGGAAAAGCAGTATGTGATATATGTTGAGATTTTAAAACAAAATTGACTTATGAGCAATTAGTGTTTGTTTAAAGACCAACACCATTGACATGTAAGAAAATAACATCAAAATAAACCAAAATGAATGTAGAAATGTTTGAAATATAAATACTTATGTAAAAACAAATCCCGACTACATGGGATTTTACTAAACTGATCGTTATTTCAAAAAGAAACCAATCATCATTTAAGACAGAAAAGACGGTAGCGACGTGAGAAGGGTGAGAACAGGCAGGTGTGACGCTCAGACATCGAACTTCCAGCCAAGTCACACGAATAACAATTGCACTGTAAGTGGGAAGCATCGTTTGTTTACAGTATGTTTATAGCGTTACTTAATTTTCATATGAAGTCTTTTACCCTCATATTCAGGTAATAGGTGTAAATATTTCTTGGTTGATTTTTGTGTATGTTAATAAGAAATTAATGATACTTTT